ACTGAAAAACTTCGAACCCGGGTACAGGCTGCTGAAATGGGCTTTTTTAGACGAGTCGCTGGCCTTACGCCTCTGGACATGGTCTGGAATAATGACATCCGGAAGAGCCTTGGAATGCAGCCTTTGTTTTTCCAGATTGAGAAGTCACAGCTGCGATGGCTTGGGCATGTGTTGCGAATGCCTCCTGAAAGGAAGGCTACGCAACTCTTCCTTGCAAATCTGACCGGCAGAAGGCCTAGGGGACAGCCAAGATCACCCCGGTACAAATATGTGGAGGGAGTCTGCTCCAGGTTTTGGTTGTCTCCTGCCGAAGCTCAGAAACTGGCACAGAATCGGCAACGCTGAAAGCACTGTTTGTCGTGTCTGCCTCTGCAATCCGAAAGGAAAAGTGGTCATGGAAAATGAATGAGTTAACAGGCGATTGTCCAAAAACTTCCAAGAGAATTAAAGAAATACGTTATGTGGCATTGCTACTCTCTGGACCGAAAAACGACGTTCACTTCTATGGAGTGACTGACAACACAGGAAGACAGCCACCTAATATGACAAGTGGGATCTTTTAATGTTTGATTCAAGCTAATAACTACGCTTATATCAAGTTTTCAAATTTTTCCTTTCTGTCCATTGCCTCAAATCAACAGCCTTCTTGGAAGCGAGATAAAATGTGGTTCCCTGCGTTACTTTCTCCTTTAATACCACGTGACAGTGTCATCCAAATCGTCATACACTGAATAGTCACCCCAGAGGTCAGAAAAAAATTCGCTGAGGTCACGACTGAACCTCCTCGAGTGTAACCTCAGCTTTTCGACTGCACACCGTAAATTGATGTAGAGTAAAAACGGATCACTGGTCCCCAGAGTTAATTGATGAGCATAACTCAGCGGCGATGAGTTACGAAATTTGACTCCGTTTTTCTAGTGCCAACTTGCGCAAACTTGATCAAAATGGCGCAGTCAGAGATAAGAATTGGCGCTTAAGATTCTGCGCCATGAATTTTACTCTTCGTGCTAACAGCGCTGCTGTCAATATCGAGCAGCATCAAGGAAAACATTATGCGAGACACGGCGCGAAGCCGCCGCCGCAGGCACTGCTCACTGACTTTAAGCAAGCCCAAAATTCTGCCTGCAGAATCTTCAGAGTTACAGTAGGAAAACAACACTGATTCGGAATGGTTTATCGATAGAGAAGCGCAAGCCCGCCGGTGGCTTGTGAATGAAAACGGAATAAACAATAACGCTGTATGATGTGTTGTCATTTTAATAGTTTATATTATTTTTAGAATATTTATTATTAGCATTCTAGCTTATTTTATTAAGTTTCTTGCCATGATGGCTCCAAATAAATTAGTAAAAGACGGCAATTTATTTGTACGGGATGCGTATGGTAGCACAGGGCGTAACAGGATGGCAGCAGCAGGCGACAATAGATGTGCAGACTTCGAGAATGTGATCAACTGCCTGGTTTTCAGCAGTCACCGAAATTACGTTTACGGTGGACCGGATTTGTGCAAAACGATTAACACTCAAAACAATTCTCATTGTTCTTACATTAGTATCCACTCTTTCAGCCCATAGGCAGACCTCACGGCGTCCTTAATGTTGAGCCTTTCAAGACGTAAAAGTGAGAACTGCTAATGTAGAGACTCATTTCAGAGGAGTCCAAAATATCCTTCTATAAACTCACCGTAACACCGCCGTTGTGCAGGAAACAGACTACCAAAGCTTGACATTATACGACAGAAGAGAGAAGATTATTATGTCTCTCCTAGCGGCCAAAACTATCGTGAGGAATAACTAGTCTCAAACGGGTGGCTAATGAGGCAGAATAATTGATTCTTAGCTGGTTTCTCCATTTGACATTGGATAAGCAATAGATTTTATTATGCTGGCAGTGCTTTGGCTGCAGACGGACGAGCGACAAAAATGTTAGAGGCGAATTGCGATGGCATTAACAGCCAACAGTAGTCAGCAAGCCCCGACGGGACCAAAACGTCGGTTATTGCACAAAACTGTGAATATGCGAGCACTGCCCTGTGAAAATTTTGCTCATTAACTTTGCTTAATAAAACTGACAACGGAATACTGTAAGCGACATAAATGGATATTTCAAGATCAAAATTTTGCGGGACAGTTTGATCAAGAGTAAAAGAGAGAGACAAATTAGGACATTTAACCAAAGCGGCCAACTGGTTGTAAATCAACTGTTTCGTATGGCAAGTTCATTGCCAGCGCAAATGGATTCTTCCAGGAGGTAGACCTCAAACAAGATTGCAAGATCTCCTACCAACAAAATCGTCAAAACGATCCAAGAATGGGGATATATTGATTCCATTGAGACGGAATGCCTTTACGTCAACTAACGTCGCTTTTAATGCAGCACAGAGCGAAGAAACAGACAACTTCATATTCTTCCTTGTTTCTAAAGCAAATATCAATCTACCTCGAAGAAGTCGAGTTCTGGAAAGATCGTGAGTCAGCATCACGACGTATTTGATGAGGTAAAATACCACTCATTTTCCAATGCACTCAACTCTTTCATGGAACTTGGCACATTCAGACTTTGAGCCCTTGCTTCGTGTTGGCAGAACTTCTAGATAACGTCATATTGAAGATAAAGGATTATCGTTTGCCAGGTAAAATGTTATTTAAACTGAAATGTCTAGAAAAAATGATTATAAGGCTCTAAATTGTTCACTCCTGAGGATATAAAAAAGCTCCATATCGTTGAGCACTGCCCACTTCCTAGCAGGACAAGTGACACTATTTCATCGATTAATTTGAACTAGAGCAAAAAAACTTTGGAGTAGGTTCGATCGGCGTGATATTGACATCGTGCACTACATTCTCTGCCCTTGCCTATGAACGATACAAATCAGGCAAAATGTGGTTTGCGTAGGAAGTAACCAGAAAAGTGAACTGTCATAAGAGCATGATTTACACCCTGTGCCTCTTCCTTTCTCAATGAGATTCCTGTTAACAGGGTTTATTGAAAGACTGAACAAATTTGTGTGAAGTGATCCTGTGGACCTCGATATCCCTGTGGACCTCGACATCAATACTTGGATTAAGTTAATCAGCAACAAAAGAATAATTCACATTCGAATACAAGTTGTTAAACTTTGTCGAATGGTAGCGGTTAATGGCAGCTCTATATTTACAGCTCTATGTGAAAGCAAAGTCAGGTGCTTCTTCCTGATGGTTAA